CTGCGCATACGAAAGATGGTGAAGACACTATGCTCGACGAAGCAGTGCGTTGAACACATCAAACACAAGGCGGACACATCTAGGCGAGCACGCAGCTTAACTGGTATCGCCTTTCTGCGCCCCTTCATGGCCCAGGGAAACCACAAACTACGCGCCTCCTCCTCCTCCTCCTCCTCCTCCTGCTCCTCCTGCTCCTCCTCCTGCTCCTCCTCCTCCTGCTCCTGGACTCCTCCCCCTCGATTACTCCACCTCCCTCCTCCTTGTCTTTCTCCTCCTCCTCCTCCTCCTTCCTCCTCCTCCTCCACCTCCTCCTTCCCCTCCACATCCTCCTTCCCCTCCTACATTCACCCTCTCACTCGTCCAAGACGTCGGAAGACACTGTGCATGGCATCACTCACACTGTTTCCCGTGACCTGCCCCCAAGTGCGGCGGTGGGCTGGTGGGGCCGAGATACCACGGCCCAGTGGGGATGGGGATCGGATGAACGATGCTGATGCACGGCACGCTTGGCCCGTGCCGACTGCCCCAGGAATATGTACCGCCACTACCTCCATCCCCCCTCCCCTCCTCCAGCCTCCTCCTCCTCCCCTCTTCCCTGGGGGAGGGACGGGGTGAGGGAAGCTGTGGGCTTTGCTGCAGGTCGCCGAGCTTCTTCAGGCACAGCCGCACCTGGCCGGCTTTCGCCGCGCGCGCACGAGGCACAAGGATCGAGGATCGAAGGATCGAAGGATCGAGAAGCCTGGTGCCTATTTTGTTGGGCCATGTAGGCTGCGGGGTTTTGCCTCGGCATCCGCCTGCGGCATCGCCCGGGCCGCCGCCGGCCCCCTGGCTGGGCCAGACCGCGCGGGCAGCCGGGCGGCTGGGCGGCCGCGGCCTCAGCGCGTCCTCCATCGGGGATGCGCTGCAGTCACTCGGCGGCAACCTCGTGGTCAGCTTCGCGGCTTCCCGCGCGAGCACCGCGGCCATGCACGGTGGCCGCTCGCGCTTGTGGACACGTTTCGTGGCATCCTTGGCTCGTTTGAAGTTGACGATGCTGATGGAGCTTCAGCCGCTGCCGTTCCTGTCCGACTGGTTGAGCCTCCTTCGTGCGGCGACGGGAAGGCTGTACGGCCAGCCAAGCTCGCGTAGTGCAATTCAGGATTCTGAGGCGCACTCTATACGTCAAGGCGTATAAAGTGCACGTCGGGGTGAGGTGCACGCTATACGCGGCTGCTCGTCGGTTCGACTGCAAGTTTAGAGCGCATTTCTGTTATTCGGAATTTCCATCTGGCGCAGCAGGCCCCTCCCTACTCGCCATTCTACTCCGTCCCCTCCTCCCATCTCTTCCGAGGGCAGTGCGCGCATAGCGCCTCGTTCAGGTGCACTCTATACGCGTTCTCGTCCTCCTCCTCGTCCTCCTCCTCGTCGTCGTCCTCCTGCTCCTCCTGCCTGCCCCACCGCCACCGCCAGCCCGAGTGGGACGGCAGAGCCAGCGCCGCGAGCTCACGCGGAAAGGCAACGGGACCTCTGCTGGCAGACAGCACAGCGTTTCATCGTGCTGTGGCTCTGGAGGACATCATGGCTGCTGCATGCTGGAAGTGTCATACCACGTTCACTTCCTTTGACCTCAGATCACGTTTGATTTGTCAAGGTCATGCATGTTGGAACCGTTCGTATTTCGGAAGCGATGCTTCGTGGAGCAAGCAATAAGCCCATTGTTAACCCCCTGGGGTAACTAGCAAATGAAGAGCATACGGGCAGCTCCAGTGAGTGGTCAAAACGTATCCACGCCCATCGCGCCAAGACAACGACACGGCGAAGCGCACCTGACAGATCAATAGCCCCCTACCCCCCAAACCCAAAGCCGACGGCAGTGCACGCGAGGCAACGCGCGGAGGACAGACTGTGGACGCTTCAACTTTGGGCTTGGGGGCGAGGGGGGGTTGGAACAGACGTCATGCAAAATGTTGTCCAACACCACGTGGTTTGGTCTTCGAGCCGATAGTGTGGAGACTTTCTGTCCGGCCACCGTCGGCCGCCTGCGCCACCGCCACAGCCAACCCAAGTGGACGGCAGAGCCAGTAGGCTGGCGGCAAGACCCCCCCCAGGACTGCCCTCGCCCCCCTCCTCCGCCCGAGGCGAGGCTGCGACGAGCAGGTAGGAGTGGAGCCCCCGCACGCTCGGGTCGGATGAACGGGGGGAGGGGATTGGCAGAAGTGGGGGGGGAGGGTTCAGCGAATCGGCTCACCCAGATTTGGACGCCCAAAACTGGTGTGGAAAAAAATGGGTACTATCCCCAACAGCCCATGTTGTCCAAAACCGACAACGGGCGCTGTTGGCCAGGCGGCCTCCTGCCTCAAATGGACAACGTCCGCGGCGACACCGACAACGAGCCCTGTTCACAATGAACAGGAACTGCTATCGGTCTTTGTACCCACTCTTTCCGTACCTATGTCGCTCGTGCCGAGCAAGTGCTTTCCCTCCCTGGCGCCAGTGTGCATCGAAGAGTGCGCCTAGCGGCGAGGCCGAAACCAGCTGCACACAGCAGATTTCGCACCCACCTCCCCCTTCCTCAGTCCCACCCTTTTCGTCTCTTTGTTTTGAGAAAGGGGGGAGGAGGCGAAAGGAAGGGCGCGACAATCACTCTTCTGAGCCATTCGTCGTTGGGAAAATTACTACGGCTTGCAAGCCCAACCATCCATCACTCCTCAACGTTCGTCCGACCAGACCATCCAGGAGTGGAGGAGAATGGAGGCAGAGGAGAATACATCGGGGATCCTCGGAACGCGTGTCAACGCCAACGTGTGCTTGCGCACAGATGCCCTTCAATACGACACAAGCGGCGCAATGAGGGCCGACCCAGGCTGCGTGCTACCAGTGGAGCGAAAATGAATACAACACACTTTCCCTCCGCCTGCGATGTGACCTGCAACACCAACCGCGACAACACGCCAATGTCAATTGCACCCAACGTTGTAGATGGAAACCAGTCTGCCTAGAGACCGGCGAAAAACTAGAAATCACATCTCGTGCGTGCACGAATAGGCACGTCGACCAGTGGGGAAAAATTCAGAAAATTCACGTGCAACAAACACACAAACACACACACACACGCATGCACACACACAATTGAACATCGGCACCCGTGTGCGCAGCAATACGGGGGGGTTCAATGGGTGCGAAACCTACGTGGGCCGAGCAAACGAAGAGGAGAGACAGATCAGGAGAGGCCAAACACACAAGATGGCTCCCAAATGGGGTCCGAGTAGATGGGGTCGGAGGATCAAGCCGCATCGCCGATGCGTCGACGATGCGTTGACGATGCATCGGCGATGCATCGGCGACGCTGGCGTGGAGAAAAGCGGGCTCTACATCGAGCCGCATCGCCGATGCATCGGCGATGCGGCGCGATCCTCCGACCCCATCTGCTCGGACCCCATCCGGGAGGCTCAGACACCAGGAGAGGCCAAAGCACACTCAGAGCGCCCGCGGGGGGCGGGAAAAGGAGGGAGGGCATTCACAGCGCGAAGAACTTCGACTGAAGTAGCCAGGGCTGCCAGCCTGTGCTGAACACAGTGGGCTGACACACGAGGCTGAGAACCACCGATCCCCCGCCCCAGCAGTCGGAGGCTCCTCCGAGCACAGCGCCGCATGCGGCTCCTGCGCGCCCGGCGCCGCCGACGGCACATCTGCGCTGGGCGCCGCCAGCGGCTCCTCGGGGCCGCCAGGGCACACCACCAGTGCATCGACACCAGGAGATCCTCACCACTAGAGGACATACAGAGGACTCCAGGGGATCCTCGCCACTAGGAGATCCTCGCCTCCTCACTGGAGGCCGAAACACACACACACACACTCACACTCTAGATGCCTCCCGAATGGGGTCCGAGCAGATGGGTTCGGAGGATCGCGCCGCATCGCAGACGCATCGGCGATACATTGCCGATGCATCGGTGACGTCGGCGATGCATCGGCGCCGTCGGCATGGAGACAATCGGGCCCCACAACGAGCCGCATCGCCGATGAATCGGCGATGCGGTGCGATTCTCCGACCCAATCCACTCGGACCCCATTCAGGAGGCCTAGAGCCACGCCCACCAGCCCAGTGTCCTCGCTCTCACCTCCTCCCTCGTCGGGTGGGCGGGGGGCTACTGGGACAGAAGAACACACATCAAGAATATGAGACCTCCTGCCGGCCCAGGCTGAAGAACACTCGAGGGTGCCCTCCCCCGGGATGCACAAGAACGCAAGCACGAAGAACACTGGAACACTCAGGCTGATGAACACTCAAGCACGAAGAACACTGGAGCACCCTCCCCGAACCGACCTCGATCTTACACCTCGGTCCGACCGCAAGGGGGGGAGGGGAAGGAGGTCCCCTCGCCCTCTGTCCCTCCCCCCCTCCTCCCCCGCGCGGGGGGAGGTGGGCGAGGAGGAGGTCCCCTCGCCCTCCCCGCTCCCTGCCCTCCATCTGGGGGAAGAGGAAAAGGGAAGACAGGCGCAGCACGATCGGAATGCGAAAACGAGAGAGAGAGAGAGGAAAGGTTTCTCACAGTCCCCGTTCTTGTTCTCGTCGTTCTCTTCCTTTTCCTTACTATCCTTTCCTTCATCCCTCTTCCTCATCCTCGTTTCCGACCTTCCCTGAGAACTCTTCCCCATCCTCTTTCTCAATATTTTGGCGGAGGGTCCTCCTTGGGATGTCTCTAGAGGTCATCTCGAAGGCTTCTCGGGAGCTTATCTGGGGCCTCTGAAGGCCTCCTGGGAACCTTTCGGAAGCTTGCTGGGGCAATCCTGCTGGGCGTCTTGGGGTCATGTTGAGCCACCTTGAGGACTCCTGCGGGGCCATCCTGAGGCCTGTTTGGCCTGTCTTGGGACGATCTAGGGGGCATCCTCGGCGGTCCCAGCCGCTCAAAACCAAAGACGCGGACGTCCCCGAATCATACGACCACCTCAAGGATATCAATAGTTCTGCCGCCTTGAAACCCTACTGGATGTCTTCGTGGTGTCGTTTGTGGCGTCGC